TATATATATATATATATATATATATATATCAATGTCGCTTGCGTTCTTCATTTTAGGGGCTGCAGTTTGTTTTTATTTGTTACTTACTAAAAGATACTGCCTTTATCACAAGCTGAATAAAGAAGGGGAAACCCCCTTTTTCATAAAATTTGCTTCTTTTGTTTTTCAAATACTCATATGTTGATAAAAAGAAGAAAACTTTCTACAAACATTTGCATAAACGTTAATGAAGTGGGATAAAAAATGGTGATGAGCAAACGAGATGAATCGGTATTAACGCTTGCTTCCTTGCTCAATTTTTAATACTATTTTTCATGATGTAGCAAAAGTCGACCACCATTGTCTGTTTATTGTGGTTTTCACCTAAAAATACATTCTTTTTTTGTTGGTACATGGGCGTGTTCTCAAATTCTTTCAGGTTTATAAAGCTGTTATTGTTCATTGAGTGGACAGACACACTTAAGACACTTTCTTTTTTTCTTGTCACTGCTTGAGAATAACCAATTATGAACAAAAACTGGAAAATTTACAATATTTTCTGAACCGTCCTTAAAAGTTTCAGCGGAATTTGAAAAATGTTTGGATATTTGCTGAAAAGTTGAGATAAATAATAATTTTCATATGGCAGTCTTTCTACAAAATCTTAAAAAATAAAAAAAGTTATATTTTCTTCAAAGTAATAATTTTATCTGTTTTCTTCTTTATCGCTTCTGGCTGCTGCTAAGTTTTTAAACAAAAGTAACGGTAATCTGACAGCTTGTTTGGTATTTCACTCGGAACTAGAATTTGAAAAAAAAGTACATTGACCTTAATTGAGAATATTTCATTTGACTGTAGTTTTCTGAAAGCATAGAAAATCTTGAAAGCACTCTTGAAATTTATAAATTGCGATTTTTAAAAATTAAGCCGAAAATTAGTTTTTTTATCATCTTTTTTAATTTCGTCTCAAAAACTGGTTCTTGTTACGCCGTTTTATTGGAATTTCACAAGCTTCTTCTCTTTTCCCTCAAAAGCAGGCGAAGATTCATTATGCTTTTTTTTGTAACTTAATGCTCTTACTTTTACGGCTAGTAGTAGTGAGTTAAAATTTTGATGTTATTAAGGAGTATTTGAAAAATTGTAGATTACAAGTTTGCAAGATTGCCAGTCGTATTTTCAGAGAGTTGCTTAATTTATTCTTTTTTTCTTTAATTACTTCAGCTATAAAAGCTGGTTTTCTCTCTCTGAGTTGCAAAAATTAAAAAGGTTGTGATTACATTACATTACAAAGTTAACACAATTTTAATTGACCTTCCAAAATTTGATCTTTTGTGTTCAATTGTGTTTGCCACTTTAGTAGTCATGGAAGCGAACAGAGGAAATCCAGCTGAATAAGTATGGCAGAATTTGCGTTTAGTATTTGCTGTCTAAGTAACAGTGTACAGTATAAGAAACAAACGATTTTCTTACAATAGCAATTGATTACATTTCCGGTACAGCACTGTTACATTCGCCTAACTGAATGACTGTTGCGAGAATCCATAAAAAATTTTTCACTTCTCATTCATCTTTCTCGCTGTTCATTTTTTTTTATTTTGCTTTTGCAGCTTTGAAACGAACACTATTGATATAGACTGAATACGTCTTTTTACGTCAGTTACTGTTCGAAAGTGTCCCCTGTTGAACTATTTTTTTTTTTGATCTTAAGAACACCATAAAATGTGTTTACTATTTAAAAGCGTAATATGGCATTCATAACAGTGTTAACATTTTACACCAAAATTAGGTTTTTGGTTTTGTCGAAAAATTGAAAAAAATTTGAAGAGCTTTAATCTACCTACTACAAGTTTTTCTATTTCCTGGTTTCTTTTCTTGAGTTTTTGACTTTTTTTTGTGCCTTTCATACAAATAAAAAAGTTCTAAGGTAGATTCAAACACAGAAGTCTTCATCACATTCAACAAGCAATAAGCAAACCTGTTGTTTTAAAGCTTTATTTAGAGACGGAAAACAAAAGAATATTAATGGTACTTGAAAGCCTGAAGTATTTTAGAGTTTTAAACCATGAACATTCTTTTCTAATTCTGAAATTTTTTCTTATCAGTGCTTATGAATCAAAATTCGGTATAATTGTAAAAAAACTCGTCAAATTAAGTTAAGCTTCGAAAAATTTGAAGAGGTTTACATTTTTAGCTGGATATTAACGATTGAAAATAATGTTAAAATAAATCTCCGGTTAAAAACCGGATAATAAATTTGCAGAAAAAAATTATAAAACATTTTATCAATTTTAGCTGTCGTTGTCAGCATGGCCAACGAGAATGCGATTTAAATCAGTTGATGAACTGTGTGCAAGATTTCTACAATAACGACGCACTCAAATATCTCCCAGTGTTTGCTTGTATTCAAGGCAAAACTGATCTAGATTATGCTAAAGATTACTGCATAGCGACCAATCCGGAGTTACCGCTTGAAACGTTAGTATTATCTTCAACGCTTCAATGCTTTTCAAGTTTACTATTTAGCAGTTGTAATAAAATGGTTGTATATTACACATTAACTTTGATGCAACTGAATAGCATTTCATTCCAGAAATTTTTTGTGCTTGTCTGATAACAACGGTTTTAACACAAAACACTTTGTAAAATTTACACTTCTGCTGAAACTTGGTTTAAAATTCATTTCTGTTCAAAAATGTATGCCTTTTTTTGCAATTAGAAGAGAAGCTTTCTTGTTGTTGCGAGTTTAATGAGTAAGAAATAAATAACACAAATTTTTATTGTTTTTATTTTCCAACTTTCTAGTAAATTCTAAGCTTCTTAATTTCAGAATTATTAAATGTGCTACTGGTCGTCGTGGTCGGTTTTTGTTGGCATTAGCTGGTAAGAAAACAGCAAAGCTGGATCCGCCTTTGAACAACGTTCCGTTGTTGTATTTAGATGGAGAAAAATCTATTGATGCTTTCTATAACTTAGAGGAAGCAGTTTGCAATAAGATGCAGCCAAAACCAGCAGAATGTGCTAAGTAAAGGCAGAACTGTTTGCATAGTTATAACTAGGTTTTTCTGATTTGAAAATATTATCTGTTTAACGTGGGTAGTATACTCTTTTATTATGTAATGGTGCTTTTGACAGTTTCACCTGAGTGGAAAATAAAAACTGTCACTTTGAACACCTTTAGCCAAACATCATCTAGTTTCTTCTGACACCCCGCGTCTTTACTATGCAGCGTCGGTCTAGTAAAAAAAAGTTGGAGTTGTTCCAGTCTCCTACTATTACCGACATCTGCATTGCCACTGTCGAGAAGTTATTGATTTTCGTGGTATGAATATATTTGTGTATTTTTATTTTGCATGAGCTTTTTATAGCCTATATATGTGCAGGTGTTAAGATAACCCGTGCAATGACGGCCTACAAGTCTCAGTTTATTATAATTTATGTGCCTTTCTTCTTTCGTATTTATATTTATAAAGAACGTTGTCCTTTAAGTGCCGTGCTGTGTTATTTGTGAAATTCACGGTACTACTCGCAGGAGACAAATCGATGTTCAACAATATTGCTGTGGAGTCTGGTATTCTAACCAGATACCACTCTGAGCTGTAAAGCAGTGTCTGTGTTGTACTTGAAGCGGATATTTTCATGAACTTGTTGCCTTGTTCGTTAAATAAATTTTTCTTGAAAAGAAAATTTCTTTTTTTAATTTTTGTTGACGTCCTTGCAATTAAGCGTACCACCTCCTCTTTCAAACATGCCTCTCTTACGGTTTACATAATTTCATTCTTTCTATACGTGGTTTTCAACGCGTTATTATTGCTTATGTGATATTTTGTTTATATTCCGATTTATATCGATAGTTTTTAGCTTGACTATTTACCTTTTTTTTTTGTTAAGTACCAGACGGCCGCGTGTCAAGTTCCACTTTAAATCTTAACGAGTTTTGAAACAGCATTTTACTGCCAACCTGTGGTGTAGTGAGTAATTAGTTTTCAGGTTCAGTTTTTTTGAAACATGTTCATTGTTGCCTTGTCGGTTCTTCTGTTTTTGGGGGTGCTGCTTACAGTTAAGCCGTTTTCACAATACACGCTTTTTGATGAAGATGATGGTCGAAAACCTTTGTCAAAAAACGATTTTGAAATGTATTTAGGGTAATTTCTACAACTAAGACTTGTTTCTGTCCAGCAGATCGAAAAAAAATGCAGCACAGAACCATGAATAGAACAGGGGTCAGTTTGATACATATAAATGAGTATGTGTGTTCAAAAGTCTTCTCCAACAACTTCCTTATCATCTTATACAATGAATCAGTAAGTTATATCCATATAGACAAAATATTGTGATCACATAGATGTTTTTAAAAAGACAAGAAAACGGTCAAGAAATCTGGAAACTGTAAGAGTTGAGTGGGAAACAGATTTGGGGACTGTAGAATCTTCGGGTTGCTGTTTTGCTATCCAAATGCAGCTATCATTTATTACACTATAGACAAGCTAGTCGTATAAAACACGACTAGAAGTAAAATTAAATTACGGCAGTAGCCTCCAAAGAGTTGGGGAGAACGGCGTAGATAAATTTTATAGGTGGATCATTTGAAGGCCGAGAACTCCGTATGCAAAAAATAAAGGTAGTCTGAAAAATGAAGGAATCGTTTTTGGAGATGAGTGTACCTAATTGCAACAGCGTTTCCTTGCGCTTCCATGTTTATGATAGTTTCAGGATCAGGCACTTAATCTTCTTTCAAAGTTGCTTGACGTGATTAAAAAAACGTCAAGGTTAATACTAATGCACCACCTCAATTTAAATCATGTTGGACGAGAAGAAGAAGGAGAAGCTAATTGATATTCGAGACTTATCTCCCGAATGAATATATTACTAAGAGAATGAACTGACTGAGGATTCCGTGATCTTCAGCAACAGGATTAATAAACTCACAGCGCATTGTGCTTCTCATCTCACAACCTTTTGTAAAAGTATCTCTGTAACGACCTGGAATCTCTGCACACCTTTCACACGCAGTCGCTTTTAGGTTATATTTTGTTCAAAAAACCAAGAGAGCGATTTGGCTTTGAAGGGCACTGGAGGGGTATTTGATTGTTTTTGAAGATGAAGGAGAGAAGTTCATTAATGTGGATGGAATTCCAATGTTGTTCGTGATCACTGACACCTGAAAGGTCGCGGTTTTTGAACCGAATAAGTAACTAGCCAAAAAAAGTAGTTTGTGAACTCTTGAAAAATCTTTTTAGTGCTAGACTCCTGGTAAAGTGTGATTTTTTGAATTCAAAATTATATCGCAGTCACCTTCCAATGAACCACGGTGAAGCATCTCTATAAGAGTCGCGAGAAGCTGACCTAAGAATATGAGAAAACGCATTCGTAAGCCCTATTAATTGCGAGCGGAACTTGAGTGCCTACCAAGGCATATATGAAAAAAAAACACGTTAGAAACAATAAGGTTGCGGCGGTACGAATAAACAATTAGACTGATAAGCATCAGGCGGTAATAAGATGAAAGAAGACAAGGTCAAAATCAAATTGAAGAAAGCACCATGCATTAATGGAAATGTAGCTTGCAACTACATGACGAAAGAAGTCAACGAAACAAAGGGAAAAATAGCAACAAGAGAGCCTGAGAAGTGTTAGTCTGTAGGACAGAACACAAGATGCTCTTAAGAATCATCATTTCGATAAGGAGGGGGAAAAACAAAGTGCTGTGATGCCCCAGCAAATCTGAAATTTCATTGTCCAGCTCTAGGACGTAAAAATCTTCATAATCGCTCAAATACGATACCAATGGCTGACTGTGACTTACTGTTCAGACATATCGAAGATTCAATCCTGGCGAGTGTCTGTCCACCAAGTCAATTTTCTTCAACAAATACACTTTGCCCAGGTTTTCGCAATAAACCTGAAGCACGTCTGGTGAACAGTTTGCCGTTTCTTACAAAGATTTCACAGAGTGCTTTGTTAAATACCTTCAAGTCCAGAATTATTCTATCATTTACTTTTTTAAAGTCTTTCTTGACAAAACCGATTTAGCTTTCGCAGCAACGATATCTCAAAGGTGAGAATTAAATAATAGGATGCGAAATAATTCTATAATAATACAAAGAACTTCGGTATTTGACACTTCCGCTCAATTAAAAATTAAAATCTCTAAGAATCTTATTTTTTCTTTTGAAGATAGTTACGTTATCTGAGCATATGGCCCTTGGAGCTTCTTTACGGCTAGTGAAGTGACGAGAACGGGTCAAAAACATTATAGGAACCAAATTCATAACTACTGCGTGATGGATGGCTTGGAAAGAAATCAGTTATTGTATCTTTAATTTTTATCCCGAACACTTGTAAGTAGGAACTTCTAAGGTTTCGTAGCAATGTCTAGGCTACTAATCTTGTCTATGCCTTGGTAGGTCTGGCACGCTCTGTGACGAAATGGATCCACTCAAAAACTTTGGTGTGCGACATTTTGAAGGTAGATCAACAGGATAGGGTAAACTCCTACTTTCAATTCTTAGCTTGACTTATTCTGCCACTCTTATCTTATTTACTTAGTCATCAATAAATAATGAAAAAAAGTTTTGTAGAAACAATCTATTCTAAAGAACATTTTGAGTCACACCATAAGAAAATTTGAGAGGTCTGAAAGTAAAGCTTGCCGGTTACAAAATTCACAAATCTTTCTTAGTTGGCGCACTTAAACGTCTTAGCAGAAACCGTCCTTTGACGGCTTCAGACTCGTTTTAATACAAATGGTGAGGTTTCATAGTAGTGGTTTTTATTAACGCGTAAGCAAGCAAACGACAGCAAAATGTGCTTTTTAAAAGCATCAGAAAAAACATGCAAGCATCAGAAAAAACATGCAATTCAGACTGCTTGAAGTTGACTGACGAATTCGCTCCGTTAATGCCGAGAAAAGAGATCGGTAACTAGTCTAGACAAACTTTTTTACGCGTTATCAAAAGCCATTGCCAGTTTCTTATCCAAATTTGATTTTTCGTAACGTAATTTTTGAATCAGAATACTTCTTTTAACCACTAAGCTATCACGTTTGAACGGTAATAGGTGAAAGAAGAATCCACTGCACTGAACATCCCGCCCCACTTCTAAAAGTTTCATATGCTTGTCTGTTTTAATAAAGTCGCTTTGAGGGATGTGATTTTAGAGTCCAGAAATGTTTGAGGTCTACTGCGAAGATTCAATCCCGCGTCGGGGGATCTTTTTACAAAATTTTAAAAACTAATTGTTTTCTTGGAATTTTCGTTTTTTAGCGAATTGATTATCTACGCACAGGGTGAAATTTGGTTTTTATAAATAACTTTTTTTTTATTGTCACTGCTCAATCTTAGAAATCTGAAATGGTGGCTAATAACTGCGGTAACAAGAAGGAACTGAAAATCGTTCTGAAAAAAGTACAACAATATCTGTACGTTGCAGTATTATAGTTCATCTTTTCTTTCATATAAGTAATCTATGATTTGGAGAAATTGTTTTGTTTTGCTATCAGCAGAGTCTAAAGAAACCTGCAGATAAACTTTTTGATTATAGTACAGTGACAAGTGATTGTAATATATGGTTAATTCCTTGCATAGAGCAGAATACCGATAAGACTGGATAATATGAATGTTCCCCCCTCCCTCCTCCCAATCGTGTTTTATTTGAGTTTCTTACCAATTGTTCCTTTTTCACTAAGACATTATACAGAACCCGCACTTTAGCTATTACTTTGCTAACCTTATCAGAGAAGTGTAGTTTAACATTACCTTCATAATCTCGATCTGCCTTCTTGATGACCTCTTGAGTAAAGTGTTCGATTGCTTACATCAATGTATTTCACCAAGATAGGTTGATTCTGCTTCAACTGTTTTAACAAGATTCTTAATCTTTCCAGGTAAAACTCATAACTGTGAGACAATGAGATACCGGTTAGTCGCCGCAGCCAACTGACCTGATATCTACTGGCTGCAAATTTTACTCTGCTGTTAAACTTCCCAGGTGCAACGTCATTATATTTTTCTAACGCTGACAGGAAGAT